CAATCACTTGCAAATGACTATGCCCATGCCGCCAGGACCCCTAGGTGTTGACCAAAACCGCTGCCCAAAGGGTTACATCTTGGGTCAGGCAGAATAACTATAGGAGTATTGTATACCAGCATCTGTGGTGCCTGTTGGGTAAGAACTGGCATTGCACCACCAAAAGGTCTCTCCCCCCTGGGTGGTCGGACTGCAACTGTCATGGTATTCCTGGCTCCTGAAAGAATCATTGATGTTTCTCTGACCGGTGGTGTCCACCTTGTCCTTCTTTCCACCCTTGGCATGGGACTAGTCATAGGAGCCAGAGCCCTAGAGGAACTATTGTCTCTGCTCCTCTGTGCTCTTTGGGGAGGGTTGGATGGAGCCTGTGAGGCTTCCCAAGAGAACTGCTTTTCCTAATCATTACTCATTTCTCCTATCTCTAAAGGGGTGTGAAATTGCCTTTCTTCTACCTTCCGCAACATTTCATAAAGCTTCAGAGCAAAGTTAGGTGCATGTTTTTCAGTCAGCACTAATGGAAGGGGAGGAGCATCTCTCATAATTGCATCCTTATCAGAGTCTATTGCATATCCCCCTTGGATTGCCTTCTCTAGAGCTCTGATCCTAGTGTTTAGTGAGGTGGCATTTGGGACATGCTCACAAAATGTGGCCTGTTGATACAACATCCAACTCCATGCTATCCTCACTATATCCTGATGAAATGCAGCTTGCCTTTGCTCATTCCAGAAATGTAACTGTGCCAGAGCCACATGAAACTGACAACAGATTTCTCATAGGATAGTATACAGTTCAACATACTCACATGTAAAGTCTGCAAAGGTGATACCCTGATTGTCAACACTCATCATCTCGGTAAACTCAGCATCATGGGAAAAGGATTGTATGAGGGCTCTCAGGTCTGCAACAACTAATTCTTGACATGCCTGAGGAACTTCAATGGGAGCAACTTCAAGTAGTAATGGTACAGGTTCCTACTCTAAACCCCATAGATCTGCAAAGATGTTGGCTTGTAGGGTTTGGGCAGCATGTTCCTCTACTACAGTGTCAGTAAAACCAACTTCAGAAGACATAATTCTTTCCACCCGATGCTTCTTGTACCAGATAAGCAACTCGTACTCGAATATGTCAACATAGGAAGGTTTTGTGGCAACAAGTTCAAGAGAGTTAAGTGACCAAGTTGCTTAACGATATACTGTAATGGGGGCGCCCTAATTGAAGATGGATCCCAAGTTCATAACCGCACTGAAGAGACTCAAAGATCAAAAGCGATAATCAACAGTAGAGTAAAGAAGAATCAAAGCAGTAAAACTTAATATCATTAAGCTGCAGTTTCACTGAGTAAGTTTCTCGAGAGGTAGTTCATTGCCAGAGGAGAGTGGGACTCACATATAGTTTAAGTAGAATATCATATACTGCCAGTTCTCACCCATCACTAGTCTAACTTAATCATGAGCATGCCCATCTCCTCCAGGCTGGCCAACACACACAACCCAGGATATTATTCCTTTGCGGATGTTGGTCTGCTCGGGCTAAATCTCCTTCCAACATCAAGTATTTCAGTGCTGCATCTCTAATGCCATTGCAGGAGAAAAAACTCTTCATATCGTTGACAAGCTCATGGCCAACTATCATGCAACTGAAGAGATATACCATTTACAAACTCTCACACCCCTATGCATTTCATCTATGCAAGCCTTTAGTAGACATAGCTCTCATGATTCAGCTGAACCTTCTACTTCATTCTAGTCAAGTCTTTGCCTGATAGGAAAGTTTACTCAGCTCCCCCAGTGGGGTACCTTGGTATTTGGCCTGGTGGACGCTACCCACAGTCAATTCCCCGAAAGCACCCCTACCATGATAAGAATCATGCTTTTAGAGTTCTCAAACAATCGCAATAGTCTTACAGCGATTGAGCACAAGTTGTATCTATGTGCAATTCACCTGCCTGGAGATGCTTCACCATCTTCCAGGCCACCCCAGGACTACCCTGGAGGCTCTGGACTACCCTTCCGGTATTACCTGAGTAACTCCTTCAGTTCTTGTCCGTTTTACACGTATTTGGTACCAGAAGATAGCCCTTCCTCTGGAGCACACTCTATGCCCTCTCATATATCCTACGGACAGCATTCGGTCGGACGGAAGGTGACAACCTATATGGTGTTACAAGAGTGCCTCCACTCAGTTCCTTTTGTAAGGAGTGGAGTAACTGAACAACCGTAAGCCCATGACGTGCGGTCCTTACACTGGGGCCGCAGGGGGGTGTTAGGAATACTTCTGTAAAATCCTAGGGCATTCGGAGCCCTGTAGCTCCTCCTATAGCCCCCCAAAGGCTACCAGGTTTGTTGCCTGTAGATTTTACCGGAGTGCCCAATCCTTATAGGATCACCCCCTGCTCCAAGTAAGTACCTTTATATGCTAGGTAGGGTAACTTGGGTGCCATATTAGGGTAACTCAGACCTTATGTCAGGGTAACTCAGGTCTCGTTACATGAGCCTTCCCGAGCCCACCTTTTATACTACAATCTTATAGTATGCTTGGTTGTCCACTATAGTGAACCAAACTATCCTTACCAGTTGACCTCAAGGTCTCTAGTATGGGGGTAAGAATAGTTTACTGTAAGACACCCTCTGGTGGGTTGTTACACAAGAGGCCATCACAGAAGTTAGATCATAAACATTTTAGTTCATTGCTGATTACAGAAGTTATTAGTTCTCATGTCTACCATGTGAAGCTACCCCTGACCATAAGAATTCACAATTTATTTCACATTTCCTTATTAGATAGTGTGGTGGAAGATTCATATTAGGGACAGATTGTTCCTGCCCCTCCATCAGTCAATGTAGATAGTGAAGAAGAGTGGCTGATAGAGGAAGTGTTAGATTCAAAGATTGTGGGAAGGAAACTACATTACTTACTGATATGGGTTATGTATTCAGATCCTTACTGGGAACCTGCAGAGATTGTAGAAGATTTAGTAACTATAGATATCTTTCATGAGTGGTATCTAGGAAAGTCTGGACCAGTACTAGTATGATAAAAAGAATGTCTCACAGAGTTCAACACCTAGGAATGGGATAATATTATGGGAAAGAGCATTACTATTGGTTTAGATATTTTGTTAACCCAGTTATTTACCATAAAGAGCTAAATAGAGGTTGTTAGTATTGAGTAGTTGTGTTGTGGCTGTTTTCGTATATTTCAGTATTTTTGTGCTTATGGGTTTCTATTTAAATAAGTTTGAGCATTGAGAGTAGGTCTCTGTTCTCTTTACATAACCTCTAGTATATTTCATCTAATAGTAAGTTATTATTTATAACTGTTCCTCTTTTCCAGAATTCCTCTTGCTATGATTCTTGTTTCCTGAAATCCTTCTTGAACCAGTTCTTGTTTCCCAGAATTCTTTCTCTTAACCTTACTCTTGTTTGCTGGAATCTTCTCACCTTGTTCGCATACTTTGGACTTCCTCCTTGTCCTCTCATCCAGTCTTTACATTTTACTATCTTACTGGGATTACTCAGTAACAGAGATCAGTATCTTTTTATCTATACCTTATATGTAGAACTTCTCTCATGAGTCATGGGGTAACCTGCCACCCCTCCTTAATGTTATCACCCAGGAAGTTTTTCACAATAATAGTGGTTATGATATACTGCTAAATTGGTAGGAAATTAAGTTATCAGTATGTGATGCAAACTTACTGTAGTGAGGTTATCAATTGTATAGTTATCTAATATGACATCAGTAAGTTATAAAACTCAAGTTATTCATGTTAGAAAAAGGGTTTATTGTATGCGTACTCACTATTTTTTGTTAAGAAACATGCTAGGTGAAGGCAAACTTGAGATTTAATCTCTCTACCTTACCAAAATTTAGCAGCCAGCATTTTCCTTGCTAAAGCTTATTAGTTATGTAGATGACTATCTAAATGTACTCTAGAGTGAGGGCTTATAACCCATGAAGAAAGCTCTCTACACTAGGTATTAGTCTATCATAGAGGGATGTCTGCTCCCTTTTCTAGATCCCTTGCCTGATTGCTCTTCTTCTATACTTGTACTGCATCAGTTGCCACAATGTCGATACAATAAACAATTATCCAACTTCAATATTTCCCCACTGATTCTGGCTACAGATGGGGTAATTCATCTTCCTGAATTGTTTCTGGTGCAGTGGCAGAGATTGTCTACCACAGCTACATTTCCGTGAGTAGATCTCAAGTTAACATTTTCCTCATGTAGTGAACAGCTACAGCATGAGGTGCATGTTAAGGGCCATTTGTTTACATCACTGGTGCAATGCAAGCTATTACTAACAAAGGATTAGAAACTGACATCCTTGGAAGAGAAAATGAAAAATGGGAGTTACATGCTTTCAGTGATCCCAAGCGGCCAGTGCATCCGTCTTCGGGTACGGCAGGACTGACCCATGCTTTTTCCAGGATGCCTAGGCCGGACTGTGGGAAATCGGCTTTTCAAAACCAAAAGGCGGGCCCGGCCTGGTTCGCCTACAGGCTTTATATGTGGTTGATACATTGAGATTCCATACCCGCTGGATATCCATGGATGGCCTGGGTATCTGTAGGTTATGCAGTCGAATTTAAAGTAAGTGCTATGGGAAAAGCTTAACCTGGGCATCTGCGGGTTTTACCTGGGCATCTGTCCTTCGGCCTGGGCTGCCTAACCTTGCGACATGGCGGTTGCCCTGGCACCCCCAGTCTTTGGCGGCCAGAAATAATTTAAGCCGGGCTGACCGAGACTTCAGAATCATGGCCGGACTGCCGACGTGCAGGCCTGACCATGGTCGGACTGGCCACTTGGAATCACTGCGGGCTTTAAACTATTCAGATCGTGCATCCGGTAGAGGAGGGCAGAAGTGAAGCACTTGAAGGAAGTTGGTTATTTGGTATTAGCTCCTGGGAAACAAGAATCTGTGCAAATTGAAAAGAGGGAGTGCAACATACTGGATGCGCAGAAATATCCAGCGCGAAAACAAAAAAAAGAGATCTCTTTGGCGGGGAATTGAACCCCGGTCATCCGCGTTCAGGGTTAACTGACAGGCGGATATACTAACCACTATACTACCAAAGACAAGTGTTTATTCTAGTTGTCAAGCAGGCTTTAAGGTTATTGTAAGTAAGCCTGCGATTCGTGGTACAGACATTGAGCGTTCGCTATTGTCCTCTGGGAGGTTTCTGTCCCTGGTCACGTGAGCTATAGCTCTCTCCCGGCTACTGGTTTTTGGCTAAGCATAATTCCCCAGTTTTCAATTCCATGTTGGATTAAGCCATCCTGACAGGCTTAATTTTGACATCTCCGGTCGCCAACTGCAGCCAATGTTGATTTGGTCTCAGAGCTTCCTTGCAGCAACTCGCCTTTTAAACTTCTACGATCGACTGACCCCCACATATTTTTATCCATATGACACCATGTAGCACCTCCATCTTAATTTACCGCGAAACGAGCGACACGTTGTAAATGACATTATAATCCTTAAGTAATGCGATGGTGGTCGTTATTTCTCGACACTCCCAGTTGCTGTGATTGTGAAGGTAAAGTGCAGACGAAGAGCTTATAAGGCACGCATAATATATTATGTGGATGGAGGTGGGGCAATCACGGTTCATCCCTTAGGATATTTTCCAGCACGCGCACACACATAGTGAGTTATTAGCTCGGTAATTGCGTTCAATACCAACAGTACATTGCGAATTTCGATCCCACTTTTACCTTTTACTTGATCTGCCCGAGTACACGTCCCTCTCGATAGATATCTCGAAGCCGATTCGGGCAGGACTAACACTTCGTGAAGTAATATTTCCTCGACCCCTCCCGATCCCACCTGTCACCTCACCATCTAGCATACTTTCATTGTCCCGGTTCACACTACTCGTTACCTCAGTGGAACAGATTCTTGGAGATATACCTGTTGGTGAACACTCTGACTCAAACCGAAGTCGATTCATAAACTTGGAGGAAAAAAACCGGGTTAAATTTCGACTTAAGGGAAAACAGAGAATGGTGGAATTACAGACTTAAATACAGGAAATAACTAATGATGAAAACTTTACGCACGAACATGCGAAATAAACATCAAATACATCAAATGTTACTCGCTAACCCGGTATCTGTCCGGTGTCTAACCTTTCAAAGGGTTTCACCCCCAGTGTCTGTGAATTATGAACTTTCTGTTGTGCTTATTTATCGCAAAGTTACGGGCAATAGCTCAGGTTTATATACCAATGTTCCTAGCTACTTCTTTGCATGCCTGTTGATATTCCCAATGTCAACCTAAATCTTATATTCTTAAATCCCTTAATACCGAAATCTCTTAATACCGGAATGCAGGTAAGTCCCTTATCTCCCGAGCATCCACACCTTTTACTAACTCCATTATCTTATCTCCTGTAGATATTACACCCGTTATATCCTAACCTCCTTTTCCCCTCACTTTGGTCATGAAGTGCTATCATATCGACAAGTCACCCGTCCCGTTGCTATAGGAGACCACACGACATCTCGTCATCCTTCAAACAATCCATTTCCTCGCCGGCTCGCCCATGACCGGTGTAACAGATAATACAATCTGCCACATGAACCCCGCGATATTCAACAAAATCTTCGTTGAATGAAGTGAAGAGAGACGTCAAGGACCTCGGGAACAAATTGACCGAAAGACTGACAAACCCAATGCGAAAATTGATTCTGCAATTTACTTTTTTTTTATATTGCGGGTCCCATGCTAAAAGGAGACCTCGAGCTGGTTATGAAGTGGGACAAAACTGGAGCGAAGACACCACGGGAGTGGGAAAGTGAGGCGGTAAGTGTATCAAATGATTCCGTAAAGTACACGTGCTGATTTCACATGCTGTACATATATATAGCCTTATATCATAACCTAATAGATTTCAGTAGTGGCAGTATTACGGGTCGTTTTGCTTCACAGAAGGCGTTATAGCTATAGGTTTGTATTGCAATGGTCTTCGGTCTCTTTTTTTTTTTACTTTGCATATACAATTTGCATAAATCAGGGTTGCTTATGCATGGCAGAACCAAAGTTTACTCTGCAAGATACATTTAATAGGAAATAAGTCCAATAAAGGAGGTTCCTCCCATTGCATAAATCACCTGATGGACAGAACTCGAATGCCCAATAGTAAATCCAATCACTAACACCTTGTTACTTTGATATATAGGGGAAGTGCCTTCGTACTGTGAGGGTTAAAATCCGGCTCAGCGTTGATTTTGTGCACATGCAGCCCTACAATGCAGGATAAGTTGAGAAGCTGGAGCTGTTCCCATGAGGCTCGGCCTCTGTCAAGATTTGCTGTTCGGTTTAGTGGGGGGGTCATCTTTTTTTTTGCTGCCGTGGCGTAGAACCAACTACACCACGGAACCGGTGCGGGGTTTCTTTTCTTACTCCCGTGTGTGGATGGGTGGGTATAGTTGTGACTGTCTGGTAAACTGAATGATATATCGGTGGGGAATTGACTTTCCGATGTATTGCCTATTTGGACGAACAGGGGAGGGATAAGAAAACGTTGTCTATTTTTGTGTTGTCTGTGGGTTGGTTGTTGTTGTCTAACTAAGAAAAGAGAAAAGTGGCTTATAAGCAGGAAATTCTGCATGCCAAGCTACATACAAAACAGGGTTATTAGTGGGCGACGAAACGTCCCCACGACTGCTAAAACTACCCTATCAGATCCCCCTAGGCCACACCGGTTCCTAACATTTGGCGCTTGAAGATAAAAACCAGAGTGATGTGTCATGCCAACACTTGGCATGTTTGGCGGGGGTGGGGTGGCACCATGCAAAAGCCCGCGCTGGACAACATTTGGAAAAATACAAGGGTTACAAGCACGGGTACGGTATCGATTGTCTTGAGCAACCGGACACTACAATTAGAGCACATGAATCCCATCTTTCATTTTCGGATCTTTTTCTGCCAGAAAAGTATGGTATTAGGGCTTGCACGGGTATACCGCAATGTGGATCAGTTGCGAATTTAATGGAAGAAGGACAACATGTTCAGGGTCAACTTACGTTGGGTAACTTATTTTGGATATATATTATTCCAGCCTTTTCCTTTAGCATTTCCATGAAGTCAGCAATGTTTATGATCCTATCCACACCTCATACGTCGCAGTTGCGGTTTAGTTCTTTTTCCCTACAGGCTACCGCTGCATGCACCATAGACATTAACAGGTGACTTTTATCGAGATGGCTTTCAAATAATGGCTACAGCGGACGGGCGACTGGTATATCGAGGACCGGTTATAAATCAATTCAAAGTCCTTTCTCTGGGAGACAGTGAAGCCTAGCCTTGAATCCCCAATAACCGGGATTTCCAGTACCTGCTACTAGAGTAATCTCCGTATATCTACTTCTCTGGTTACAGATGTGATATTTAAAGCCATTTCTATCACTCATTGTTCATTTCCAATATCTATCGGATATGATATGGATACTATCCAGGACCTTTCGCTTGTATCGCGGGTATCAGAGTACCGTACGGCACTACAAACCAGATTGGCATGGTGTATCACTCGGTTTCTGATACTTCGAATCTGGTGGTGATAGCTGGCTCAAAGTCTCCCCCAGCTGATCACAGATCGCAGTGTGTGCTCATCCAGTGTTTCACGAGACCAGAGTTGGCATCTCCGTCAACAAAACCTTGCTTTCTTCCTCCGGTCTTGGAGACCTTTCTCACGCTTCATGATAGATAGGCTAGGCCTACGATTGCGCTTTTCTTTCCATCTCCACTTTTCTTTTACGCTCGTTTTCTAGCATGCTTGCGGAGGAGATATATGCCCTGAATATCACTTCCGTCATCAACTCAAGCCTAAATTTACTCATCCGATAGTCACTATGACGCCATCCCCCTTCCATCCCTTGATCTGCCGGTCTTCCGCCTCCTCCGCCCCAAGAAGTTGCATTGTTGCAAACCAACAACTATCCTGTTGAATCTATTGTCGAAAGTCTCGATAGTTCTTTAAATCTTCTGTTGCCACTTTTTACTAGGATAATCTACTATCCCGTCCGACCGGGCGAGAAGGTGTTTCATTGGGGGGGGGGAGATGGCAGAGATCGGGCACTGCAAGGGCTTAGTGAAGACAGGGTTACTGTGTAGAGACTACTTTTGTAGGGGGGACTGAAATAGGAATATGATACGCGGGCAGAGGGGTAATAATATCGTGCTTGAGCACTCTCTAAATGAGCGGTCGGCAGAGGATAATCAAATACTAGCGCTATTGCGAGCTAGAAAGCTTCTCAAAACTCCCCTCTCGTGCTCGCACACCGTTTATGCTTCCCGAGTGTAACGGCATCTCGGGTAGCGGTCACTCAGTTGCACCTTATTCTTCATCCACACTCCGCGACTCTCAAAAAGCCCTCGGACACTCCGGAACGGGTCTTGCAATTACGCAGTACTGCCAAGTCGTTGTGATAACTGTTGTTTCAGTATATATAATTTTCCCGGAGGTGTATTCCCATTATATTACACCACATGACGCCCTTCGGGCACCAGCTTGTAAAGAAGTAAAAATACAATAAACCCTGGAATATGTGCCCGGTACATATCCTCCCATATCTGAAGAGAAAAAGAAGAGTGTAGGGAATTACAAGGAGTCACAGAAAATAAAGGATCAGAAATAACAGCGGAAGGATATAATATAAATGAGTGTTGATAAGTGCACGGCGAAGTATCGCCTTTGATTGGCCGTACCAGCTTAGGTCATGTAGCACCATAGTCAAGTTGGTGAGGCTCGATAGTGTGTCGGCATGGTCTGGTCCAAAAACCTTCTGTATCCCCTCAACTGCACGCCGAAACATTATCTCTGATTCGCCGGACCTTCCTAGATCTCGCAGCACCATAGCCAGGTCGTGGCACTTCCCAGGGTGTCGGCATGGTCAGCTCCAAGAACCTTCTCTCTCCCCTCCAGTGCCCGTCGTAGCATCGTCTCTGATTGACCATACCTCCCTAGGGCTTGTAGCACGGAAACTAGGTGATTGACGCTTGTTAGGGTGTGGGGGTGGTCTGGCCCGTGAATCTTCTCGGACCCCTCCACTGCACACTGTAACATCGCCTCTGA